TGAACCACTGAACTGCTGAGCTGAAGTAGCCTGCAGTGCTGCATTTAACCACTGCGCCACCTTGGCTCATAGCAATAGCAGTTAGACATATACCGCTTCATAGGGCTTTCAGCCCTCTCTAAGCGGTTTACAGAGTCAGCATATCGCCCCCACAGTCTGGGTCCTCATTTCACCCACCTCGGAAGGATGGAAGGCTGAGTCAACCTGCATCTGTGTACAGCTAGAATATTAAAAGTTATTCACAGATATGCACATCTGGAGGTATTTTAATATACAGCAGCAGAGCCTCTGTGTGTGTGTATGTGTATATTTCTGTGCAAAATGCAGAAAGTGGAATACAGCCAGAGGTTGTATTCAGCTGGTTCTAATCGGTTCTTGTGAACCGTTAACTGAAATTTTGCCTGGTTTGGAGAACCGGTAAATACCACCTCTGACTGGCCCCGCCCATCCCACCCGACACCTTCCCGGAGTCCTCATGCACACTGTTTTGGCTCCCAGGTAAGTGCAGGAGGGTGTGAAGTTCCCAAGAGCTGACCTAATTAATTTACAAGCCTCGAGACAAAGTTCAAAAACAACCCCATTCATTTATTAGGACTAACATCTTGGCACGGACTTCTGTGGAGCCGAAATTAAATCCCACTTAATGGTGTCTGAACTTTACCTCCGTGTCTCGTCCCCTCTGCCTGATGTCATCACATTTGCCAACAGGACATTGCGGCAGGGTTCTGGACATGTGCATTCACATCTCAGTTACAAGAATATGTGATTTTACTCTGGCCAAAAATATGCATGGCATTTTCCTCCCTTCTCAAGTTGATAGTAGTCATGGAAACGCTTTAGATGTTGACATCCGGCTCCCCTCACTTCCTGAAAACAACCTGTGCAAAACAAAGCAATTTGAGTACAGGTGTATAACTTAGGGATGCATCCGTTCCCCCAGGCTTGCTTGGATTTTCTGCATGGAATTTTGCTACACTCTGGATGTATCTTCCCCAACAATCGAGGCAGTTTCAATTGCACTGTGCACTCTGAACTTTTACAAAGTCTCAACATTTTTTGTGTGATGTGACCAAAACTGGATGCAGTATTCCAGGTGTGGCTTTACTAAGGCTTTATAAAGTGGTACTAATACTTCATGTGATTTTGATTCTATGGCTTTGTTTATATAACCAAGGATTGTATTCGCTTTTTGGGGTGCTTCCATACCCTTCTGGCTCATATTTATGTGATCATCCACTAGGACTCCAAGGTCCATCTCACAGTTCCTCTTTCTGAGCCCGGCTTCATCTAATCTGGATTTGTACCTTTGGAAAAGGCTCCATGATGGGTGGGAATGAAAATGTGAGAAGTGCTCACTTTTCTATATCATGCATTGGAGGTCTGATCCTGGTCAGCTTAGAGTCATAATTCCAGCTCATTCACATATTATATCCATATTCCTCCCTACAGGTGACGATTCTGTTGTCCAGTTGATTCCAAGAATGGGTGTCCCTCCTTGGGATGTGGCTAACGTATCTCTGCAGGATGGACGGCTGATGTTATGGAGCAGAGATGAGGAGGTGGGAGCATCTCTTACTTTGGGAATTGAAGAAAGAGCAGGAGCAGAATCTAAGCATGCTCAGAGTTTATGGGGTTGAGGGCAGATTAATAATAATATACGTATCAAAATAGTGAATCTACCTACAGAGTTCTCTCTTCTTCTTTTAGAATCTGCTCGAGAAGCGGAAACGAACCAGCAATTCTGTTCCAGAGAATAACTCAATATTCGGACCAGATAAGGAGAATAGTGAGTGTTGTCTCTCTCTTACACACAAACTGCTAGGCTAAATGTGTGCCCAGCTGTCTGGAAATGAAGAAGGGGTAGCTGGATTTAATTTCAACTTGTTCTGTCTCATTCACCCTATTATTGATATCAAGTATTTCTTAAGCATATTAACTGTTTCCTTGGAGTTGAAGAGTGATCAGCAGGACTGCTTGGCACTCTGATACTCTTGCCGTTTCGTTTTGTCTGTAAGAATGACCAGACATTTAGTTGGGATTAGCACTTTAATCCACACAGCAAAGTCATTTTAAACCCTTAGTAAAAACTAATAAACTAAACTAAATGCCTCATTTTTCCATTTGAGATGTTGCCAGGAGATTGGTCTTCTGGTAGATCATCATACCTCAAATGTAAATAGTTTATGGGTTCTTCAGAAAGGAGTTTCTTGTGGTTGGGATGGCAAAAGCCAAAGTTTCCATCCAAGGCATGGATGTTGGGAACTTGCACACTAGTTAAAACCCAAAGAGGTGAGAAATTGCAAAGGAGTTTAATGCATGGGCATTTCCACATCTGCTCTGTCATCATGGGGGCATCATGTGATGTTATCGTGACTTTTCCCCCTTCGCTAAAACGGGTGTGGGCATGGCCAGCACATGATGCATTCAGCCTGCAGGCTGTGAATTTGACCCTCCTTTTCTAAGGATTGAGAGATTGATATTCCCATGGGTTGAATTTTTGGAAAGTAAGAAACCTTGATATTTGACCATCCCTCTCTTACATCTCCCCCACCCCACATCCAGTAGCATTGAAGCCGCCACTGTGGGGTTTGATGGGATACTAAGGTGCTCAGGTTTGGGTATCATGGGGCTTAAATCTGCTGTTAGTCTCAGTGAAATCCGAGTTCTTTCCTGGAAGAGTGGATAGACCCCCAGAATTAAAAGGACCACAGATTAGGCTACTGAGTACAAAAAGGAAAAAAAAGTGGACTCAAGAAACTGCAAACCTGATATTGGTACTTTAAAAAATCCTAGAAAAGATAATCAAGCAATTAGTTTTAAAGTACTTTAAAAGGAACAAGGCATGAGTTTGTTAAAAATAGGTTGTGCCAGAGAAAACTTTCTACTTTTATTTATTTATTTAATGTTGTGGATACAGCTAGTCCTCAACTTACAACCATAATCGAGTCCAAAATTACGATTTTAAAACATTATGGTTCTAAGACGAGGCACATTTCTCGGAGTAAATTTCTGGCCTTTTTTCACAGCAGTCATTAAGCAAACATGATAGTTCCTATGTGAATGCTGTGGTCATTAAGTGAGCCCATTTATTTGATTGGGTATTCATGAAATAGACCACAGATTAAGGACAAAGTAGCAATGTATTGCAGCTAACAAAAGAATCACTACGTTCTTATATACTGTTAGGATAATAGTATGTGATATTTTTGCCCCGTGCTGTACTGGGCACAGCATATCTCGAATACTGTGCCCAGTTTGAATTTCTACAGTACAAGAAGGATGCTGAGGAACTGGAAAGAATGCGGAGAAGAGTGACAAAGGCTTTGAAGTTAAATCCTATGAAGAATGGTTATAGGGACTCTTCAGCCCAAGAAAGAGAAGGCTAAGGGACAGCAGTCTTCCAATACTATAAGAGCTATTACAAGAAAGAAGATGTGGATTTATTCTCTGTAATACCCAAGAAAGGGCAATGGGTAGAGGCTTTAAAGAGGGAAGTCTAAATCTGAAATAAGGAAGAATTTCTTGAGTATGAGAGCTGTCAAGAACAGCCTCTTTCCGGTCATTATAGGTGCTTTATCAATGAAATTTTCAAGAAAAGCTTAGTAAACTTCTCTGAGATGATACCAGAATTAGGCGGCTGGGATTAGAAAAGTTTCAGAAGTTTCTTCCAATCCTTTGAATCTATAATTCCTTGATTGTTTCACTGTGTTTGACTTCTATTTATTTTACTTCGTTCCAGCAGAGTTCTTCGTAGGAGGGCAGGCTCCTGAGAACAAGCCTTTCCAGGATGCTTCTTCAGGCACACATCTTGGCAATGTGAAGGTACAAGAGATGCGGGGGAGAGGGGTATGCAGAGCAGGAAAGCCAAGTAAAGGCACTCTCTTGATGACACCCTAACTTCTCAGGGTCTCTCTGTGGCTTTCCCTAGTTTAGTTCTCCCCAGGCGTTCCAGTATCCGGAATAAAAATCCTATTCTAGGAATGTTACTTCCGCGTTGTAGCAGCTTGCCGCATTATTCTTGTCCTCCCTCAGTCAATGCAGATCATTGTACCCTTCTGCTTCATCTCTCCTCCACCAATTGCTCAGTCACTTGTTCTAGCTGCATTATCTCCAAATGAAAACCCACACCAACGTTTGAGGCCTTGAGGGACCCTCATTTGGGGAGGTGCTGTCTTTGGCTGTGATGTGTGCCTTGGAGTTGGTCTCAACAGCTCCACAAGTATTTTGCTAAAGCGTAGCCCATTTAGTCTTGCTCTCTGCTGTGAGAGGCATTGCCCGAGTTGGCTTGTGAAAGGCCGAGAACCTTGGAAGAAAACTGGGCCAAAAAATTTCTAGGTTTTTTTTCAGCTATGCCCCTTTGCTTCAAGGGTAGGAAAATCCTCATAATTATTCCTTTTTCTCATCCTATTTCCAGGGGACACTTTGGAGACGGTTCAGAGATCGGAAGGGACGGGTCCATCCTAATGAATCTGCTGTGAATGGCAATAGGTAGGCTCCAACGGGAATTCTCATCTTGCACCTTTTTCTTGATTCACTTTGTTTTACTGAACATATTGGTTGAGGTGTGATGGGCTCATACTATTCTTTATCTTTCAACTGGTATCCTGACAGCCAGTTTGAGAGGTGGCCCCAAAATGTTATTCTCTGGGCTTCCATTCATTAAATCCAGATTTCCCCAATCCAATGCTTTCATACTTTGTGGTGGTGGTGGGGATTCATGCAAAATATACCAGTTGGGGGAGACTGATAGTCCAACCTAAAACAAAAGTTCTGAATGTTTTATAACAGAGAAAAATATTGGAGAATTGTGCAAGAGAAAATAAAAATTTAAGACTGAAAGCATCTTTATAAAGTACTGCAACTATTATGGCATATAAAAGATTGCTAGGCCAATCTCTTCCTGATAGCTTAAAATGCCATGAAAGGATGCTCTGTTTACTCTTTTATTATTACTAATTTACTGCTGCCTTAAGTCATAGCTGTCCCCAGAACTCCTAATATTCCAGCAGTGGAACAAGGGGCTTCTCATATTTAGCAAAACAAACTGAGCACTTTCCAGACATAATAAAAATGCTGCTGTCAGAAGATTGTTAGGAAGATTCAAAATATGATTGAGAAACACTGAGAATCAATGTTATCTCTCAAAAACTGATAAACTGCCAGGTACCCCTGCTCTCTCCACTACTGAGTGGTTGATTTTTAAAAAAATAATATATATTTTTTTTACCCTGCAGCAACTGATGGTTTCTAGAGCATATTTAACTGATTGGCACATCGTATAACTTGTTTTATTGTGATATTTTGCCAGTGTTTCTCAACTCTACTTCCTGACATTTGGCTCAAATTTCAGCTATATGAAAAGGACGAAGAACTAGCTGGTGAAGGTGCCCTTTAATCAAGCTGGCTCCATCCGTGTAGTCTTTGGGGCAGCTTTATGGAAGCACTTCACCATCCAATCCTCCAGGATGTTTTTTCAACCTTCCAGTCTAGATCAGTGGTCTCCAACCTTGGCAACTTTAAGACCTGTGGACTTCAACTCCCAGAGTTCCTCAGCCAGCTTTGCTGGCTGGGGCACTCTGGGAGGTGAAGGCCACAGGTCTTAAAGTTGCCAAGGTTGGAGACCACTGGATTAGAAGACCTCTAAGGTCCCTTCCAACTCTGTTATTCTGGTGTTAAGTAACATTGTAGTGAGGTGTAGTGCCGTACCCTGCCTGGGGAGCAGAGGCGTCTCTAAAAGGCCAAGAGGAATTTTCTGCTTTGGTAAAAAAAAAG